AAACACTTGGATGTTCAGCTCACAAGCCCAACAAAAACAACATGCTTCCTTCGAAAATCGCGATCAAATAGAGACAGATGATAGATCATACATCAAATATCCCAGATAGAGACACTTACTGTTGGTGTAAGTTACAAAAAACCAGGGCTTGAGAAAATTGCACGGTGTTGAGCAGACGAACGAGACAGTCGAGCACCATTCCATCACATATTGCAACGTACTGTTTGATGCCGATTAGTTGCACATCATCTGGAAAACAATATGCTCTCCTATAAAATCGGCGAATCTGCATTATCTTGACTACAACGAGACATATTATAGCCGCACCCGAGTTTAATCGCACTAGAGATGCTTCACGCATAAATTTGCACAGTAACTGATCCAAATTTCTTGGGTAAGTAGCTGAAAATACCGCGACTTGACGCGACGGAGGTAAAGTAGAGAACAGATAGCTGAAAGAATTAGCGTATATTGCAGTTCAAACCAATTCAAAGAGCGGGATAGTACCGTTTTATTGGCTTATATAAATATTAACGGAATAGCTATGTTCACTCTTTCGTTAAAAAAATAACTCTTACTTAATATCCTTTTGAAAACATTCTTCCATGAGCTTGTCGGCCTCATCAAGGATGAAAAGATCGATGTTTTCCATGTTGAGGTTCCCGTTCTGTACCATCTGGCATATTCTTCCAGTGGTCCCAACAACTATATGCACCCCTCGCTTCAAAGCCTGCACATCAAGGTGAACGGGATTGCCGCCAACAAGAACACTAAACTTACTGCCTTAGATAACTCGAGAGTTGAAAATGAGAGGCTTACGCGATCCTCGTCTTGAAATGTGCAATCTTCGTGATTACGTCCTTAATCTGAGTGGCGATTTCCCTCGTAGGAGCGATTATCATTTTTTGCACAACATCCGACTGTAAATTCAGGTTCTCAACAGCAAGTATGGCGAAAACAAGAGTTTTTCCCGTACCAGATTTCGCTTGTACCAGCATATCTAAGAAATACAGTTTAGCAGATAGCATGCGCTCTCAATACGACCTTTCAAAATACCTATGCCAGCAAGCCCTGTTGGAATGGCTTTCATCTGTATAGGGGAAGGGACGCGATAGCCATTGCTTTTGAGGTTTGCGATCGTCGAAGGTGAAATCATCAACGATTCGAAAGTCCCATCACATTTCACATCGTCGGTTCGTTGACTTCCATCCACTTCTATGATTTCTTGGAACTCCATAAGCACATAAACTGTAAAACACTAAACTGATACACCATTTGCAATGGATGAAAGGGAAAATATGAGAAGAAGACTGATTGGAGCTTACAGCAAACGAAATAGGAATGCGTAAACCAGAAACAACAATAGTTACAATTAAAGGACTGTGATCAGGTTCAGCAGCAATGGAGCGCGATGATTGCAACCAGACATGTCGCGCTTTATTCAGTTCTAAAAATGTCTGAGAAGAGAATAGTCGAAGGGTCGGTGAACTAAAAGTAACTGTAGGGTCGCGAAGATATATTGGACAAACTCTTGACTAAAGAACATTATGAGAGACAGGTGTAGTTTGGTCATGATCAAAATTTACTAGCGTCCATGGTTAGATACATGAATTGTTGCTCGGTAATGCCCGTGTCGCTTATGCAAGGTAGAAGCCGGCCGCACTTATATGGTTTCAAAAAGTTCCTTAATGTCACGCAATGTACCTCGTAGATCATTCATGTGGTGAATAAATATGCTTTTAACCTGATGAACATTCATGCTGCTCACGCGCAGTTTGCTTCAAGTCATTTTTCCAAACAAGGAATATCGACCTTCGTCAAAAACTTTCGCATCGCTCTTCTGATCTTCTTCATTTACCTTAGTAGATCTTCGCTACTTTAATTTGCCCATAATTGTTCTGAATATTTAGCTAAGTGACATCTTGCCAAATGTCTTCCATTTTTCCTACTCACTACTCGCTCTCCGTACTCTTCCCTACACTCCACCTTTCCAGAGTTGCACATTGTGCCATCCCAAGAAGCCAAATTTGCGGATCATTCCATTGATCGGTTTCGCTACCATGACTTGTTGGACCACCGTATATACTGCGTTTAAGATTTTAATTGCACTGAATAGCTGATCACATACGGCTCTTGCCAAATGATCGCTGCATTTGGACTCACTCTGTTCGGAGGAGATGCCCTTCTGCAGTTTTCTCCATGCGTTTCGTCTCATGTGTTAAGTCTTAATGTGAGAGTTGCGATGTGTGAAGGCAAATCACCATCATGACTTATAATAAAGCGCTACGTTTGTCTGTGTGTGTGTTCCTCTGTCTGTCAAAATTAATTCATTTGTCTAAAGAAAGTCAAAGAGCCAGTTATCAATTGTTATCGTGTAACTGCAGAACACTAAATTAACATGAGCAATTTTGTCGCGAAAACGGAGCAAGTTGGTTGTTCATTTTGCGT